TCTTTGTTATTCCAAAGGGGGATTTGGGGGGGGGGGGTTCACAGATTAGTGAAAACTCACTAAGACAGCTTGAGACCATTTACACCTATGGCCTCAAGTCCCACCACCCCAAGCCAGAAGGGGGTGGAGAGAACGCCCACCTCATAAATCCCCGGGAAGACGCAGGGCAGGCGAGGGGGCCGGGCGGGCGGCGCGGTGGCCTCGCCTGCCCAAGGGGGAGCCGGCGGCGGCGGAGAGCCGGGCAGGGGGATGCTGCGCCCCGGAGGAGGCGAGGTGGGCCGGGCGCAGGCAGGTAAGGCGGGCGCGGGACGGAGGGTCTCCTCTCCTCGCTGGCTGGCCGGCCGGCCGGCTCGCTTGGGTGCCCTCGACGGGGCGGACGCCCCGACCCCCGTAGCCTCTGCTCCGGATCGGGCGCCAAGGAAGCGCCGCATCCACCGGTGTGTGTGTGTGTGTGTGCCGCAGACAGACCCTCCCCGACGCTTCCCTCCCGTCGGGGGACTCCCGGCCAGTCCTTGAAGCTGCGATCGGAGGCAGGTCGGCTGGCGAGGTGGGCTGCCTTGGGAGAAACCGGGGATCGGGACCAGCCTTCCGCCGGAGCCAAAGTGTTATATTTATTATTATTATTTTGAAAGGGGCCTTCCCCTGTTTCCTCCGAGGAGACCTTTCCCTCCATAACCGGGAGGCTTTCGGGTCAAGACCGGTTCAGTGCCTGAGGCTCTTTCCCCGGGGGTGGCTGGGGGGCTGCTTCGTTCCCCCTCCCTCGTTTAGAATGATCCAGTCCTGTCCCCCCCACCCCACCCCGAAACCCTGCGGGGCTCAGCTGGAGGCAGGCGAGACGGGGGCTCCTCCCGGGCCTTCTCCTGTCATTTGTTTGGTGGTTTTCTTTGGGGGGGGGGGTAGAGTCAGTGTTCCCTCTAAGCTGAGTCAGTGCGAGCTAGCTCACAGTTTTTTTAGCCTCCGGCTCACACACTTTTGTCTCAGCTCAGGAAGGAGGGGCTCCAGAGCAAACTGGTTTAAGCAGCAGCCCAATGGCTCGCTCACAACTCAATGCCAGTTGCTCAAAAAGTAGGATTTTTGCTCACAGGACTCCACGGCTTAGAGGGAGCATGGGTTAGATCCCGAGCGACCCACCTCCCAGGCCTTTCTCTGGCGCCCCAAAGAGCAACCAGTCGGAGCCCCAGGCGGGCTGGGGTGGGGGGCGTCGAAAATCCCCGGCGGGCCACCGCCTTTATTCGGACCCGGCGGGATTACGCACGACGAGAGCGCAGCCACTAGCGCGCCCCCTGAAAAGCCGGGCGGGGAGGGAGCAGAGTCGTGGCGCTCCAACTCCTGGCAGGCAGGGAGAGCGGAGCTGTCCGAGTCAGGCTGGCCGGGGGATCGGGTCCCTCCCCTTCATATCCTTGGGGCTGGCTAGCGTCTCCTCCCTAAGGCCCCAGTGGCAGGCGAGGAGTCCTTTCCCCGGCCCAGGAGAGCACTTTTGGCCTCCTCCTTCTTCTCACCAGCTGCGGGAGCTCGACGGGGCGCCGCTTGGGGAGAGGCGCGGGCGCCTCTGGGAGTCCTGGAAAGCCCCCCTCCCCCCCGGAGCGTTCACGCCAGGTCCTCGGG